AGGAGGCTGAGGCAGGAGAATTGCCTAAACCCAGGAGGCGGAGGTTGCGGTGAGCCGAGATCGCGCCATTGCACTCCAGCCTGGGTAACAAGAGTGAAACTCCGTCTCAAATAAATAAATAAATAAATAAATAAAAATAATAAAAACTTGGGCGCCGTGGCTCAGGCCTGTAATCTCATCACTTTGGGAGGCCGAGGCTGGCGTATCACCTGAGGTCGGGAGTTTGAGACCAGCCTGACCATCATGGAGAAACCCCAACTCTACTAAATATACAAAAGTAGCCAGATGTTGTGGCTCCTGCCTGTAATCCCAGCTACTTGGGAGACTGAAGCAGGAGAATCACTTGAACCCGGGAGGCGGAGATTGTGGTGAGCCAAGATCGTGCCATTGCACTCCAGCCTGGGCAACAAGAGGGAGACTCCATCTCAAAAAGAAAAAAAAAGTGTCCTGCAGGAGCTGGATTTTATGCAAAATAATAAAATAAATAAATAAATGATAAAAGGGTAGTTCCCTCTGAAATCAGAGAGCTCAAGTGTTTTCCTCAGTGCCTAGAGGATGTTGAAGGTATTTGATTTCCAGAAAGGGCAACAATGAAGTTTCTGGTCTGTATCTGACCTCAGTATGTTGTATAACCTTCAATCTCAGATAGTTTTTTCTATCTGTACCATGTGAGGAACATTCTTACTGTCAAACTAAGGAGATTTGGTGGCTCACACCTGTAATCCCAGCACTTTGGGAGGCTGAGGCGGGCAGATCACAAAATCAGGGGTTCCAGACCAGCCTGGCCAATATGGTGAAACCCCCATCTCTACTAAAAATACAAAAATTAGCCAGGTGTAGTGGCACATGTCTGTAGTCTCACCTACTTGGGAGGCTGAGGCAGGAGAATCGCTCTGTTCCCAGGCTGGAACACAGTGGCACAATCTGGGCTCACTGCAATCTTCACCTCCCAGGTTCAAGCGATTCTCCTGCATCAGTTTCTCAAATAGCTGAGATTACAGGCCCACCTCATCAGCCTCCCGAGTAGCTGGGACTACAGGTGTGTGCCACCATGCCTGGCTATTTTTTGTATTTTTAGTAGAGATAAGGATGGTCTTGATCTCCTGACCTTGTGATCTGCCCGCCTCAGCCTCCGAAAGTGCTGGGATTACAGGCATAAACCACCGCGCCCAGCCTACAGGCATATGTTAAAGCTTGACTTCTCAGCTGTATTGTACATTCTTCCAATGGTAAGAATTTCACTACAAATTCTAGCCACAGTATTGAACCTATAGCATAACACATTAATAGTGATATGAATTAGGTGCTATATATATGTGTTGAAGAGTATGTGGGGCCGCACGCAGTAGCTCAAGCTTGTAATCCCAGCACTTTGGGAGACGGAGGTGGGTTAAATCCCTGAGACCAGGTGTTCAAGAGCAGCCTGCCCAACATGGCAAAACCCCATCTTTACAAAAAATACAAAAATTAGCTGATCACGGTGGCCCCAGCTACTGCGGAAGCTAAATTGAGAGGATGGCTTAAGCCCAAGAGGCAGAGGTTGCAGTGAGCCAAGATTCCGCCACTGCACACCAGCATGGGCAACAGAGCCATTCAGTGCCTGTAGAAGCATGGAAAACAAGAAAAAAGAAAAAAATAGAATGCATATTATTAAGCATTTAAATAAGCCATATCTGATTATTTAAAAGACTCCTGTCCTTCTACTCTAATTCCTAGAAAATAAAACACAAATTATTTTAACTGGTACTCCCAACCAAAGAGAGGAAATGTTACTCCATGGATGAGAGGTTTTGTTATTGTTGTTTTGAGATGAGTTTCACTCTTGTCGCCCAGGCTGGAGTACAATGGCTCAATCTCCGCTCACTGCAATCTCTGCCTCAAGCAGTTCTCCTGCCTCAGTCTCCCAAGTAGCTGGGAATATAGATGGCTGCCACCATGCCTGGCTACTTTTTGTATTTTTAGTAGAGATGGGGTTTCAACACCTTAGCGAGGCTGGTCTCGAACTCCTGACCTCAGGTGATCCACCCACCTCGGCCTCTCAAAGTGCTGGGATTACAGGCATGAGCCACCGTGCCTAGCCGAGATTACTGATTAATGCAGAACATTAATATGATTTATCTTAGATTACCTGCGACACTGTCGAGTTTTATGTTAGCCTCACATAGTAGCCAACACATCCCAGATCATCTCTGCCCACCCTTTGATCAGTTTCTTAGGTAATACAAACTTGTTTCATATCAGCCTGAATGAAATAATAATAGGGGAGTCAATATCATTTAACTAGCTCAGGGATGAGCTATAGGTGAGTTTTGTTTTGGTTTGATTAACTACTGTTTTGGTTTTGGAAAATTCTTTTTTTTTTTTTTTTGAGATGGAGTCTCGCTCTGTTGGCCAAACTGGAATGCAGTGGCACAATCTCAGCTCACAGCAACCTCTGCCTCCCAGATTCAAGTGATTCTCTGCCTCAGCCTTCCGAGTAGCTGGGATTATAGGCGCCTGCCATCACACCCAGCTAATTTTTTGTAATTTTTAGTAGAGACAGGGTTTTACCATTTTGGCCAGGCTGGTCTTGAACTCCTGACCTCAAGTGATCCACCCGCCTCAGCCTCCCAAAGTGCTGGGATTACAGGCATGAGCTACTACACCCGGCCAAATTCATGTCTTCCTACCTCATCAGCTTCATGGAAAATTGGGAGCTGTCTGCTAAAGAAATAATACCGCCGGGCGCGGTGGCTCAAGCCTGTAATCCCAGCACTTTGGGAGGCCAAGGCGGGTGGATCACGAGGTCAAGAGATCGAGACCATCCTGGTCAACATGGTGAAACCCCGTCTCT